GGTAATTTATTATGTTCTATTGTATTTCAATGTATTTTATTGTGTTGTAAGCCGCCCCGAGGCTTCGGCAAGGGGCGGCATAGAAATGCTATAATAATAACAATAATAATAGTAATAGTAATAGTAATTTGTACCTTGACAGATGGCTTCAGAGAGAGAGCATAACAGACAGCTTTTATACAAATTAATTAAATAATCTCTTGGTGGCTTCATAAAATATGGATTTTCTTATTAAATAAGTTCAGTTAATCTAAATCAGGAATCTGCAACTTGTGGCCTTTTAGATGTTTTGGCCTACAACTCCTTTATTCTGTTGTCTAGGGATGATGGGAGTTGTAGGCCAAAACATTTGGTAGGCTACAATCCTGATGTAAACATTAGTTTTCTCTGAATGATCATTTTACATGTTTCAGGATATCTAATCTTAAATACTGTTCTACCTTGGTTTCTTGATATTTTATAATATACTGAATATCAGAATGTTAACTGTTGTTTTGACATGTTGGATTGGGTCCATTCAGGACAAGGGTGCAGAACCTCAGGCCTGGGGACCAAATCTGACCTCCTACGTGCCCTGGTTAACCCTTCAGGGGTAGTCAGAACTCTCTCCCCCAACCATTTATTGTTTGGTGATTCTTGGATTTCTGCAGTGTTTTTCCCAATTCTAAAAGGTAGAATTTTTCCTAAGTTAAAGTTACTGGCAGTAACAGCATTAGGTTAAAAAGTACTGATATTTGTGATCCTGCCTCTTTTGCCTTCCATCCCACCTACCACTGGAATGCAGCTCCTGAAACACTCTCTGAAAAGGAATTCAGAGGTTCCTTATCCCTGTTTTTGGGTGAATAAGGTGATAGGATCTGGAGGCATACTCACACTGGCTGTAGCTTAAGGCAGCAGTCCTTTTATTAAATGGGTGTAAACGTTAGGTATTGGGAAAAAATATGGTGATAATCTCTTTCAAGCCTTTCATGTTTATATCACATTGCTTATTTTAAAACTTTTTTCTGTTTAAACCTAGCAATTCTTATTCAGGAAAGAGCAGTGCAAATAGTGGTGGTGAACAATCTCTCAACAGATACTATTTGCCATATAGCCTGACTTCCTCTTTCACTATATCCAACAACCACCTTGCCTCATCTTTGGACATATTACTTTATCTGTTTGTTTTTAATTAATATTATTTGGTGAGGTTCAGAAAATTGTAAAAATGAAAAGAAGAAAAAAAGAATGTCTATAAAGAAAAGCAGAGGGGAGGGAAGGAGGAAAATAAAATGAAAACATATTTTTATTACATAAAATTTGAATATACAAGTTGTAAGAAATGCAGTTGAATTTATGCACATATAAATTAGCTATGTGTAAGAAGATGTACCTTGTTGTTGTTAGTTGTTAGTCGTGTATGACCCATTGCGACCCCATGGACAACATTCCTTCAGGCCTTCCTGTCTTCCACCATCCCCTGGAGTCCACTTAAGCTCATACCAACTGCTTCAGTGACTCCATGTAGCCCCTTTTTCTTTTGCCATCTATTGTTCCCAACATTAGGCTCTTCTCCAGGGAGTCCTTCCTTCTCATTAGGTGGCCAGAGTATTTGAGTTTTCTCTTCAGTATCTGGCCTTCTAAAGAGCAGTCAGGGTTGATCTCCTCTAGGACTGACCGGTTTGATCGGCTTGTGGTCCAAGGGACTCGCAGGAGTCTCCTCCAGCACCACAATTCAAAGGCCTCAATCCTTTGGCTCTCAGCCTTCCTTATGGTCCAGCTTTCACAGCCATACATTGCAACTGGGAAAACCATAGCCTTGACTATATGCACTTTTGTTGGCAGGGTGATGTCTCAGCTTTTTAGTATGCTGTCTAGATTTGCCATGGCTTTCCTGCCCAGGAGCAAGCGTCTTTTAATTTCTTGGCTGCAGTCCCCATCTGCGGTGATCTTGGAGCCCAGGAAAATAAAATCTGTCACTACCTCCATTTCTTCTCCATCTATTTGCCAGGAAGTGAGAGGACCGGATGCCATGATCTTAGTTTTCTTAATGTTGAGTTTCAAGAGGCTCTTTAGTTCCTCTTCACTTTCTGCCATTAGAGTGGTATCATCTGCATAGCTGAGGTTGTTGATATTTCTCCTAATTCCAACTGGTGATTCTTAATTCCAACTGATGATTCATCCTACTGTTAGTGTAAATAGTTATGCATACGCATGAGTAAAGGCAAGCCTAATATTTGTTGGAGCATAGGTGGAATCTAAAGATCCCCTGTTTGAAAGTGCAAAGTCTCATTAACATCTCAACCCTTGCATTATCAGTATGCAGCTCTTGGAGGATTGCCAGAATGTATGGGTTAACAAAGTAATTCAGCTAGCTAACAGTTAGCCAACCTAACCAAGCCCTGTTCTGGAAAAATGTTGTGACATCCAGTATACATGAAGCACATTTTTTGCTCAACAAGATGTAGCCTAATGTCAGTTGACATTTTCAGGATGGTTGTTAATGCATCAATCCATTGATGGGGCAAGATAAGGCAGTCTAATTCTCTCTTGCATTCCTGCTTAATACTTTGTACATTTTATTAACTTAGTGATAGTATTTGTAGATCTATATCACAGGTCAATATCTGATTACACTTTAGCAAGTACTTCTATTAGTAGAGGAGACACTGAAACTACAAAAACAGTAGGACCAATCCTAGATTCTAACAGATTTGCCATAAGAGGTACTGCCATTCAGCTACAGCTGACAAATCATATTTCACAGAGGGCAAAAAAGGCAGAAAATTATCAGTAGCAGCCTCTAAAGTCAGCTATCTGTCTAGGTCTGGCATATGAACATTTTCTTGCCTATCTTTAAACATGAATTTCTCCACAGGGTGAATTTACAGGAAAAATGGCTCAAGATGTAATAGATGTGATATTGTGTGCCACACCCCTTCTGCAACTGTAAAGGTGACTCCAGGGGATGGTGGAGGATAGGAAGGCCTGGAGGAATGTTGTCCATGGGGTCCCAATGGGTCGGACATGACTTCGCAACTAGCAAGCAAGCAAAGGAGCACTCCTGCATCACTGCTAAACCTTTTGTTAGTACTCTGATCTCCCACTCAAAAGATCAAATACTTTCTATGCTACAGCTTTGAGAGCAGCTAAGCTATTTATTCAGAAATTGGATTTAATTATCTTCTCCCCGACCAGCACTCCCACTTTCAGGTCTTTTTCTTTTTACATCATGCCTGGCTATCTTCATAGAAACATGGTGTCTAGGTTATTTCCATAAAGGAATACTAGTGTTCTCTGTTCTTTCTGACAAAGAATCTCATTTTCCTAAAAAACTAAAAAGAGAAAAATGGAGTATATTTGCATCAAGTTTGGGTAATAACTCTCTGGCATTGTATCTCTTTCAACAATTTGTATTGTATGTTTATCAAGTTTGGGTTTTCTTCAACAAATTGCATGTATCATTCAGATTTTCAAAAAGTAAATAGATTTTTCATCAACCAGATGAATAGCTTTTAGATTAGGGTTTCCTGTTCCTTTTATCTCGCTGAAGATACCTTTATAGCTAAGTTAACGACACACATTTCAGAATGTATAATCATAGCTATGTGTATACTTAGTAAGTAAATAATTTATTACTGGACAAGCAAAGAACTTGTCATCCTTCCTGAAATGATGTTTCCATGATGTCAGTGTAGTATTTCAGATGCTGCCATACAGTAGTAGTTCATCCCAAAGGAATGTTGATTACCAGGGTGACAGCACAAATGACAGTTAGGCACCTGCTTTGCTCAGTCCACACTGAATTAATCATTGGGCTCAACACCATTGATATAACACAGTTTGAGCAAAATCTTTTTTCCAGATCAGTTGCTGGTTTGGAGGTGCTTTGAGCTCTACTTGTTCCTCCCAGTCTCTCCCATGAAGGCATGGGAGTCTTCTGCAGAAATGAGTTCTGCAAGTCCTTGTTGTTGGCAGTCTATCCCACCTATTCTGCTTATCTGATTTGCCCCTTAACAGGCCCTGTATAGATTGATCCCACAGGGCACATACATCATGCAAGAGAAGAACTAGGAAAAGGGTGAATATGTGCCCACAATAAATAAAAGCAGAAACTTGATGTCCTTTGTATCTTATAAAATAAGATTGTAAATTGGTTTTCGGACCAACTTTTAAACCTATGCTAAGTCTTTGAGGTATACAACTGTAGCACAGATGTATAAAGTGACTGCATTCAGGCATAATGCTAAACTATGCTGCACTGGGTTCAGATAGGTGCATGGTTTCCAAGTGTAATTTCTGCTCTCCTCCATCTTTGCTTCTAATGGGAGCATGTATTTCATTAGTATCCACAGCTAAAAATCCATCCCCACATGCACTATTCCTGCATAGCAATGAATGCAATCAGGAGCATCTTTTGCAGCCACTCACTGCACAGAACTCTATGGAAGAAACATCAGAACCAGAGAAGAAGCCTCTTTCCTGGTTCAGACATGAAAACAAGCCATGATGAAGCATGAAAGCCATAGAACAGGCCATTTTTTCTCCGTGTGGTTCCATGGAGACCATCCTTACTACACTTTACCATGCTTGCTAGGTTCAGACATAATGACAAGCCACACCACTGTGGTTTCAAAGTGGCGTTTCGTTATCCCTGAACCTGTCCTGTGTGTGCATGTGCGTTTCTGTGAATGTGATGGTAACAACTTCAATGCCAAAGTGCTTCATGTCTCCACCAGATAATAATTAAATTAGAAAGCCAATACTTTTGTAAGCAAATGTATCTTGAAAAAAGATTCATTTGTGTGAACAGTTTCATTCTCCTGATTCATATGTCCATCACTTGCCCTACCTTTTTCTCTTGGTCTGCAACTAAAAATTTTTTTCTTTCTTTTTCTTTTTTTAGCCCAACATTACTTCCCATGCCAGCATTTGTAGCACACTAGCATTCACCGGTTCAGCTTGTGAAGTGCTTCTTTTTTGTCAAATTAAAATTTATCTCTTGTTTTACTTTTTCCTAGATGCCGGAATTTCAGAAAAAAACTGTCCATATCAAGGACCCAGCAAGGGTGGAAGAAATTATATGTGGCCTCATCAAAGGAGGAGCTGCCAAACTTCAGGTGAAGAGCATATTTATAGAAATGAAAGGCCTATGTCTATACAGATTTTATACCAAGTAAAAATGAAAATAGTAAGAAAGGAAATAAACATCTACCTAGTTCCCCGAGTGGTGGAATTTATTTAAGTATTCTTAGTAACTCACATACTCAGATCTGTAATTTTATCCTTTTTGGTTACAGCTTCTTAATTAGTATAGTATTACTGGCTACATTTGTAAGGATGAACCTGTTCAACCCTCAGGCCCTTCCATTCCTCTTTCTGTGGTGCAACAACAAGGCAGAGTTCACAAGCTTTGACTTCTGTTTCTGACCATAGTTTAGCATTACATCTGAACCCTGAATTGTGGTTAGGTTTAATTGAGTTGGGTTGTTTTGGTAATTCATAGTTAAATAGTAAACTCAGTTTGTCAAGATTCAAACATTATACTAAGCTGTGATTAATCAAAAAAGGAAGCAGAAACTTCCAAACATGGCTTCATGGCCGTGCCAGAGGAAGAGGGGATGGCACATGAGCTTAAGGTTCACATTAAGCTCATTGTCTGACATCTAGCATTACATGTGAACAGAGCCATTGAACAAATAATGTGCTAATTTTCCCCTAAAATTCTAGGCATTTATTTTAATGCTGTGTTTTAACATTAAAGCAATGCTTTAATGCTGTGCTCATTTGTTCATCTACATTTTACAGATCATTACGGACTTCGATATGACATTAAGTAGATTTTCACACAATGGCAAAAGATGCCCAACATGTCATAGTGAGTACTATTTGTTTTTTGGAAAAAAAATTAATTGATCAAGAAATAGGCTGCAATCATACATTCACTTTCCTGGATGAAGCCCTACTGAACTGAAAAGTAGTTCTGAGTAGTTCTATATGAATTGTTCTGTTAATCATCTAAGCTTTAGGCAGATCATTCGAATAGCGATAGAAGAAATCATTTATAAGCCCACGAGGTTGCTCCTGACTAAGTCCCAACCAGCAATCAGAATTGTTTGGCTTCCTGTACAATATATTACTTGCTTCATCCTTGACATGTTACACTTTTGTCACTACTACTCTACCGTGCGGTACAGTGCCGAGCAGAAGTATTCACCCATTCCCCTGTTGTGTTACAACCTGGAATTGAAATTGATTTAAGTGGCATTCTTTGCCGATATACACAAGATACTCCACACTGTGAAGGTGCAAAATACTGTTAAAGGAACAAAAACAAACTGGTACTTATGGGCTGCTTTAATTATCTTTTCTTTTCTGTGTCATGCCTAAATAAGCTCTGATCCAATCAGCTGGCTCCAAGAGTCACATGCTATAGTTGAATGCAGTCCATTGCCTCTGATCTCAGATTAAATACACTTGCTCCTGGAAGGCTTCTGAGTTTGTTGAAGAATTTATCAAAACAAATGCATCCATTATTATGAAATGAAAAGAATATGGCTGAACCATGTCACTGCCTAGAGAAAGCTGGCCACCAAAACTTAGTAACTAGGTAAGGAGGGCATTAGTCCAAGAGGCAACCAAGAGGTCAGTGGTAACTCCAAAGGAGCTAGAGACCTACAGCTGATACGGGAGAAACCTTCCATTAGACATCAGTTATCCAAATGCTCCACAAAGTTGGGGTTGATGGAACAGTGGCAAGAAGAATGCTAAAGCTGAAACCTATATCAATGCCTGTTTGGAAGCATGTGAGAGATACAATAAGCATGTGGTGGGGAGGAGATGAGTACCTCTACAAGGCCCTGTTATAATCCAGATTCATCTGTATATGTTTATTGTATGAACAGGCATTCTTTCATGGGCTTATTCTTGGGGGAAGATTTCATTTAAAAAGCCACTTAAATTTGGTTCCTAGTTCATAAATGTGTACCATTTGTGGATTTTAATACCTTATTTTTAAATAACTTGTCCATGAGTAGTGGTGTTAAGTTTTTTTTTCACCAGGTTAAAACTGTTAACCCTGGTGAAGGGCAAGTTAGAATCTTACATTGTTCTGCACACCATATTTTCTAATAACATTCTGAACATCTTTTAGATGTCATTGACAACTGCAAACTCATAACAGATGACTGTCGCAAAAAGGTAATCTTAAAATTGACAGTGTATTTCTAATTTATTATTTGTTGTTTCTATAGTGAATTGTTGCAAGTATATTTTTCCATTTTAGTGCTATTTGGTCCCATTTTTTCCCTATGCGCTATATGGGTTTACATAACAGAGGACAGCACTTCATGCCACCTGATAAAATGAGCACAAGTCCACAAAAGCTTATTTTACACTGATCTGGTTTGCATGGAAAGACAGCAAATTCGGTCATAATTTGTCATAAGTTAATTATGATTTGTTAATTACCTCATATCCCTGCTATATTCTACAGTCAGCCAGGAATTGCTGTGTGACATGTAAATATATATACTTAAGATTAGTCATGGGCTCAATAAAGAAATAATTACTACTTATTACTGTTACAAATTACAAATTAAGTTAATTATGGGCTGAAACCTATGATGGTCAGGTTCTGACATCACATAACAACCCCAGATGGGCTGAATGGGTTCAATAATTAACACACAACATATCATTGTTACATATGAACAGCTGCTATTGGTCTGATGATACATTGCTCTGTGTGGTTTGCTAATCTTGACCTGAAAGCTTTAGCACTGGTCAGCAGGAAAGGAAATCCTTCTTTAGATGCTGGGCAAAAGCCAAGAATCAGCTCTTCTACATGTGATAACAAGAAGAACACAACATATATTAGTTTAATTACTCGGTCAAAGACCAAATGTAATTTATTTAAATTATTTATTTTGACCCTTAATTAACATATTCCATAAAACCAATGTAATATTAGTTAAAAACACTATTAAGATAAAATCCACAATAAAACAGTTGTCATAGAGTACAAAAGATGCAGAATAACTGACTTTTCTCTTTTCAGTTACTCCAACTGAAAGAAATTTATTATGCTATTGAAATTGATCCTAGTCTTACAATTGAAGAAAAATACCCTTACATGGTTGAGTGGTGAGTTTATGAAAGGTGACCAATTCCATTTATATTACAGCTAGCATGCAAATCTCTATTATTAAATGGATCTCATGGTTACTGAAATATGCATTTGATTACTCTTTTGCTCAAATATACACTCACAATTATGTATTTTTTAAAAGTAAATTCCAAAATCTTTTTTTGCTTGTTTGTTTTGCAAAAGCATTCATTGACTTGGTTAGGGTTAGGGTTATAAACTAGAGTTGATGACCTTTTCAAAATCTGGTCTTCTCCTGTTCATCAGACTTTTTGTGCTTGGCCCTCGCTCAGGAGGTGAGCTGAGCTGACAGGAAGTCTATGAACACTCACAGAGTTCTTGCTGCACAACTGACAACCTCCTTCTTCTGCATAAGCAGTACAAACAAAGCTGTAAGTCGTGTTTGTGCAGTGTTCATATGGGGCTTGATTCCTGACAGGTGCCATGCCAATGCTCAGCGTTAAGTCAGACTCACGGCCACAAGAAAGCAGACCAGAGTCCAGGGAGCCAAACCATGGGAATGCAGTAAATTTGTATGCCCAATACCGATTGCTCATACATCTCTAAACCAAACCAGTTAATTAAAAAAAAGAGAAACTGACTATATTCCACCTCTTGATGCTACAATAGGCTTTCCTTCTCCCTTTGCCTTCTCCCTCCCTGCTAAAGCCTTACCTTTCTCCTGCTCTGTCTTTTCAAGTCATCTTTCCTTTCCTGCCCCTCCTTATTGCCTTTTCTGCCCAGCACAGCCTTCCTTTGCCCCCTTTCTCCTCTTCTGCCTTGCCTTCCTTCCTCCCTAATCCCTGTCTTTCTTTCCCTTCTGCTGCACTTAGCTTATCAGCAGGAAAACAGCAGATCTTAAGAAAGGGTGAGCACTGCAGAAGTGGAGAGGAAATAGAAGAGGGCTGTGAGTGGGGAAAAGGAAGAAGGAAATTGCAAGGTGTGAATTATAAGCTTAGAAAATTACAAGTGGCAGAAGGGTACAGGGAAATTGTGAGCAGTGGGGGAGAGTATGGTACACCTCTGTGCTCTAACAGCAATTTTTGGTAGACACATTTGAAAATGTGGACTGTGTCTATGGACCCAAAATGTTTGTTTACCCATGCACTAAACCACGATTTAGCACTGCATGCATACTTTCCCAACTGTAGAGTTAATTTTGCCTTTGCTAACAATGAAAATGAAACAGAAAACTCTTAATGCAAGAGGGAAAGGATGTGAGGTTAGGCCATGTAGTTAATTACTAAATAACATGTCATGCAATTCAACTGTAAACTTAGCTATCATATAAAAAGGTAATACAAGACAGATTTTGAGAGTGAAACTAAGCACAATGGAATATTTATATGGAAAATCATTGATTTATGCTTTATATTCTTCCTTTAGGGAGGAAGTTGGTACAGTTGTTTGTAAACTGGTGAATTTTAGATTTTCACTTATTTTTATATTCTACCTTTTTTCATTCAACAAGAAACTCAAGGCACTTAAAACAATCCTCTTCCTCTCCATTTTATTTACTCAAGCAATTGGTCCAAGTGGCATTAAGGCATCTTTGTAAAACATCAACTTCTTAGGGTGTTACGTAAGACTTTTCACTGTATATGTTTAAGAATTGAACTTCTATCAAACTTGGGAACTTTTTTATTATTGGCTGGAGAAACGGGACTTGGCTTAGATTTAAAGATGTCTTTAAGTTGTTATAAATGGATTTGATTATGACTATAGAATGTTAAAAAATATGTAGTAGGGGGCTGACCCAGTACATCCAATGTATTTTATGACTGATGTTTTTAGTAGTAGTTTAAAAATCTTAATAAAAATCTTAAAAAAAAAAAGAATTGGCTGGGAAATTGCTGGAAGTGGGCTGGCAAATTGGGAATTTACCTTGTGTTTTTCCATTTCATAGAAATATTTGCTGTATGTGCAAGCAGCTGTAAATTCAATGCACCAAAAAGATTTTAAAACGCCCATTAAAGTGTCAGAAATTCTCTTTCTAGCTTGTAAATGAAGTGTTAACTTTCCCTGTTTCCATTTTTAATCTTAGGTACAACAAATCACATGCTTTACTTATTGAACAGGGATTGCAAAAGGACAAGCTTGCTGAAATTGTGAGAGAGTCTGAAGTTATGCTGAAGTAAGTAAGCATCTAGAATTTGATTTTATATGGTTTCATACATGCTGATTGTATCAGTTCAGGAGAAAACATGCTTTGCTGAGAATTTCAGAAATGGAAAGCTGCACTAAATATCACATGCCTATTTGTGCTCCACTGGGAGCCAATTTCTGTGTTACTATTGTGGTGAGTAATCTTTCATATGCTTGTTTTTCATGCCGAACCTGTAACTCCTGAACACAAGATCCCACTAGGGACAGGCTGATACGAGGTACTATGGCTGCTTCCTATGTTAACCTAGTCAGTCACACTGAAGTACCTGCCATGGCACAGTGATGATATAATAATCAGCCCTATTTTTGTTTTAATGTCCTGGATGATAGTTTTGTTCATTTTACTTCGGAACAATTAGAAGATAATTTAGTTGCACTTTTGAATATTTTTTGCTCCATAAGTATCTGATAATGTTACTGAGCTTTTGACTTCTTATGACTACTGGTATTCTTATGAATAAGGAGGCTTTGGCTACATTTGGATGTAATGCTAAACTGAAGGTCTCCGGTGTGCCAGCAGACATCTCTCTTGGCATGCTGCAGGACATAGTGCTGACCTCCAGTATCATCTTTATTTGTGGCGTCCAACCAAGTGGCTTCCAAGCTGAGTCCAATTTCTTCCTTGAACCTAGATTCTTGTGCCTTTTTTCCCAGCTCACCAGATGTTGAGTGTTTTCAAACATTTTCACTAAGTGTTGAGTGTTTTCTTACTGGCTGTGCCCACCATAGAAGCTAATTTATAAATGAGCAAGCCATTTTAGGAGAATGCCCACAACATTAACTTGAAATTTAAAATTTGGTGGCTTTTTGAAACAATCCAGCTTCATAAACTATGGTTTGAAGTTGGCTTATTATAGCAAACCATAGTTAAGATTAACCATGATTTATTTGGCCAGAACGTCTGAACTCCTTGCTGCTATACTGAAGAAATGGAGAGCACTCAACTCTGAGGCTCACTGTGGCTTATTCCTATAGTTCTAAACCATGGCATAGCACTGCATTTACACCAGGATGTTATGGCTTTACTGCAATACTTTTTGTAGAAACAAGAGTGTGGGAAGCGGGGGTGGGATGTTAATTTGGGGGTTAAAAAAGTTACATTCCCCCACCTACTGCACCATTAGTGCATCCCTTGCACTATCAGAGCAAGATGTTCCCCCATTCCGAACTTCCTCTGCTCCCCCTGCAGTGTGATACACTAAAGCAACATGCATACAGCATGTAGTCTTTAGTGCATTTGACATATAGCCCTGACCTAAGGCCTGAGGAACAGGAAAGCAAATTTTCCACAAGCAAGTTAAATTTGTATTTTCCTGTCCTCTCTTATCTCCACAGGCAAGGTGCAGCAGGGATTTCTGCCTCACCCTTGCGCTTTCAGTTTTTTGCCTCAAGTTGCATACATATGCACCAAGGTAACTGTGTGTATCTGTAGAAACAGAAGGCAAACTAGGATTATTACAAGACAAGTGTGTGAAGTTTTTTATTTTTTAGGGTAAGCTTGAAAGAAATGTTCTTTGAAAGATAACATATGTAATAAAGAACTTAAAAATTTGAAACAGTATCTCAGTTGGCTGTCATGTAAAGAAATAAATGTATGCCACCATCTTACATATTGCATATATATTGGAAAGAAAGGGTTTTTGTTACCTATTTTAACACTGTTACATTTCAGTTGGGGTTCTTTTGTTGTTTAAAAAAATCATCCTGTTTTACAGAGAAGGATATGAAAATTTCTTTGACAAACTCCATGAACATAATATTCCTGTATTCATCTTTTCTGCTGGGATTGGCGATATCTTAGAAGAGGTCATTCATCAAGCAGGTGTCTACCACCCCAATGTCAAAGTAGTTTCCAACTTCATGGATTTTGATGACAATGTAGGTATATAGGTTTTTAATTCAAATAATTCAGTGCAAATACATGTTGTATAATGGGCTTCTTAAGGAAGAGCGTGCAAGCAGCTTTCAACTCAAGTGGAAAAATAGGAATAATTATTTCCTTTTTAAAAGTCAAAAATCAATCTGATGTTAGGCTAGGTTCAGTGAAGCAAATTCTCTTCCCAGAATGAATAGGTGAATGAATAACTACATAGGCTTCAATTAAATATTAATTTGTTCATACTGTGATAAGCTGCATTTGTGTAGGTTGAAATAATAAAGCCTTAAGAAATGTTCTAAAGACACAAGTGTTGTTTTTACTTTGCTTGAATAGCCTTAAAACTAACTTTTGTTTTATTTAACAGGGCATTCTAAAAGGATTTAAAGGAGAACTAATTCATGTTTACAACAAACATGATGGCGCTTTGAAGAATACAGAGTACTTCAAACAGTTAAAGGACAACAGCAATATCATATTGCTTGGAGACTCTCAAGGAGATTTAACAATGGCAGATGGAGTCTCAAATGTTGAGCACATCCTTAAGATTGGCTATCTCAATGATAAAGTAAGTTTGTGTCTTATTGGTAAGAGTCAAGTCCATGATACTGTAAATATTAAGCATTCATTAAAGATAATCTTAGTACATTTGGAGTTCCCCTTACGAATGTTATTCTCAGTCATAGCCTTTTCCTCCTAATAACAACATGTTCAAGGGTGGAAGCTTAAAAACCTTTATCTCTCTTGCTTGTCCTGGCTAAATGCTGGTTTTCTTTAGTTTATCCAGAGAGTTAAACTATTTTCTCAACAAATATTTGCAACATTCAAGTTCATTACTCAATTACACCCATTTTGAATACCTTAGGAATCAAATTTGACAAAGGAATGAACTTGTACAGAAGACGGAAAATACCTTGGGTGAAATGGCTTGGTTGAAGTAGTTTATTTTGTGGAGTGCTGCTTGCTTCTCTTGAAAATTACCTCATCTGTCAGGAGTGCGTAGAACAAAAAGTTGATCTTGAGAAGCACAGATAGACTGTTTTTACATCCACCTCTCAGGACCCAGTTCATTGAAACTAAATTTATGTTGTGATGTATTTATAATTGGAAATTTTTGCTTCTACACTTGGTTATTATAAACTGGGGTTAGCTTCAAATACTTCAAAACAGTTACTGGTGCTGGCAAGTTCAAACCAACCCTGTTTAAATTTAAGCACAGTTCTAAGTAAAAATGGTGCTGCAAACTTTGTTTAATGAAAAAGGAGTTTCCAAACTCCTCTTCCTTGGCCATCTGGGAGGAGAAGAGGAACATATGCAAAGGTAAGGCTTACAGCAGCTAGTTTCTGCATTAATGTTCGGTTAAATTATGGTTTAGCCATAATGTACAGTTTATATTATGGTTATAAACTACAGCATGAGTGCATATCACACAGACTGCAAATACTTCCCCTAACCTTAAATGCAATCCCTAATTCCCCAGCAAAATTTACAGTAGCAATCTTCCACCATATTTTGGCAATAAACCGTGATAATGGCCTAAAAATCTAAATTCCACTTTAAAAACATTCTATAAAGCTGCAGCTGGAATTTATTAGGCCACCAGTGTGTTTTAACTCTGAAATTCAGCAGCAAACCAGCAATTGCTTTGCTGCTGCTGTTGCTGAATTTCAGTGGCAAAGGACAATAGTGGCCTAACATTTGGAGGTGGGGCTGCAACCTCTTGGGGAGGTGAAATTGACCCTAGAGCCCCCAAAGTGTCCCAACTTTTATCCAAGGCTACAAATTGTTAAATTCAGTTTCTTCTTGTATGCAATATAGTACTTTCAAATATGTGGATTTTGTGTAATGTAATGCAAATATATTGTACACTTTGTGCTCAGGTTAGTAATAATTAAAATTCTATATTCCAGAACTATGGGAAAGGGCTTGAATTACTTACATGAAATTCAAACACTGTCTCATGGTTTTCAGATAATGTTGAATGTACCTGGAACAAAACATCTACATTACTTGGTTTAAAAAATACTGCAGTCACTCAAATTCTTTTGGTAATGGTAAACCTAGGTAGGTTTTGTTTTTCTTCTTCTTGGAGGTTTTAATTCCTAACAATCATATTTTCTTTACATTCTTATACTAGGTTGAAGAATTACTGGAAAAATATATGGACTCCTATGATATTGTTCTGGTGAAAGACGAGTCTCTGGATGTGGCCAACTCAATTCTACAAAAGATTCTGTAATATGCATTGTCATTAGCCGCTTGTTCTCCTTCTGTTGGAGACAAATGGACAGACTGGCATGCCTGTTTTAGACCATTAATATTGATGCTGTTTTCCACATACTTGTCACATTATTTGGAAAATAATATACCATATCCATGATTGTCTGGCCACTTCTGTTACTGTTCTGCTACTGCACCTCTTATTTATTCCAATGGGAGTGCTGTATAGGTCACAGGAAAGGGCTCCTTCCATCTTTCCATTCACAATAAAGGGATTTTTTTTGGAATATATGGGATTTTGATAGAAAATGAGAAATGTGGAGAATAAGCAGTGTGCACATAAATTTATTACACTTCATTTAAATTGCACCTTTAATCTTAAGAAGTTCAGTAGTGAGTATTTGTGCATCTAAAAGCAGTGCTCTGTGTTGAGCACAGAATAAGAAAGCTCAGTAGTCAAATTCTGTACTGGAAAAAGCAGCTAGGTCTAAACAATAAATACCTTTTAAGATCGTGTTGGTCATAACATAACGTTGAAAAAGATCTTGTAGAGTATTTGCACAAGTAGGTGGTTCTTATTACCCTATAATTTGACAGTGGACAGTTTTAAAGTTCCTTTTTTCTAATTTAGGAAATACTGACAGCAGAAGACACCTTTTTCCATAGTGCTGTAACTGTTTTCATCCTAGCTGCAAAGGATAATGTTTTGGTGTTACCTTAGTGAGGTGAGCTATCAGATGTAAGCATTGAAAATAAATCTGTGCTGGACTGCTCTTCATAGCTTAGTCAAGTCTCATGCATGGCTTTTCATGAAAAAGCAAATAGTATGACATGAGACTTTAATTCTTAATAAAAGCCATGCCAGCTCAAAGGCTTATCTGGTGTAGCTTTATCTGGTCTAGCCTTATCTGGCAAGCAGAGAAGCAGGTCACAAGTATGGCACCACCCTGCTTGTGTTGCCCAGTAACTGATACTGAGTCTTATTGCCTTTGATACCAAGGGTAATATGTAGCCATTCTTGCCAAGTCATTCCTAGACAGTGGTCAATTTGAGCATTCATGCAGATCCTGATTGTTTCACTTGCCAGAGAATAAAGCTTTTAATGAGCCCTAGGAAATTTTTCACCTTTTCTTTTACTCTCCATTCTCTTCCTGGCATGCTAAAACACAGGTAGGTAAGAGGAAAGTCTCACCTTGCCAGAAGAGACCCAAAAAAGCACTATTTCACATACTGTTCATAATCATTCTATTTAATTTCAATTATCCATATTCAACCTACAGTATTTTTTTTTAAATCATAGCACATTTGAGTGCAAACTAATTAATAGACCTTAGGGTCAGCATGCATGAGAGTCTCATCTAGACGGGTTACTAATTTCCTTAATAGTTCAAAATTCCCTTCCCCTCTCCAAAAGACTCTGTGAATGTGATCTGAGCCATGTGTCCTAGCCTTAGTTGTTCTTGGGTGCACAACCAAAATTTCAATCAAAATTGTTTAAGCCTCTCCCCATCCATGCTCACATACATGGCACTTTCTTACACAATGTATCTGTCAATGTTTTATTTAATAAAAATACCAGCATGTATCTCATTGAACAAATACTGATGGCATTATTAGTATTACAAAGTGTTTTTAAATACAAAAATTTTCAATAAAAGCTTTTAAAAGCGTGCCTGTTATAAAACTAGCACCATTGTACAGTTAAAGGTCTCGCTATATTTAGTGAGACTGTTTCCATTAATGCCACTGTAATTTTACATGCCAAACTTTTCACCTAGCTTCTCATTTTAAAGAATTAGTGACATCTAAAAAACTGATCTCATAGGTACCACTTCCCACAAAATTTAAAAAACAAGACTGCATTTGGAGTGATCATTTTGAAGACTTTTCTGATCCCTAAACTAGCTAATGTTGGCCATTTGGTGCTCCAGAACCACTCTCGATGCCTTTATCCGTTGGTGCCAAAGGGAAGGAACGTGTGGCTTGCAGGATGAAAATATTTCCCAGCCCTACTGGTGCAGACCCAGAGGTGGCCTGAGATTTAATCTGAAGGCTATTTCTAACTTCTTTGACCCACTTGAGGATTACCTGCCACTCAGAAATCAGGTGCAGTAGCCATATACTGCATATACACTTGAAGTATAAAGTGATGCATACTGCTTCATCTTTCTAGTATATATCCAGTCGCAACATTTGTTTGTAATACAAATTTACGGCACTGGTGAACAACAGGAGAAATTAGAAATCTGAGGATACCTAAAAAAAAAAAGTTGGATCAGCCATTTCTGCAACCTCCTTGTACAAGCTACAAACAAAATTTTAGAGAAACATAAATTCCTGGGCCCAGGAAAGCTTTCTATGGAACTATTACAACTGGATTTGACACTGGCTTTCAAAAAAATTATGGCAGTAGCTCTTGTATGAGAGGTCTTCATCTCCCCTTGACCCAACTATATTAGCTGAGCTTAGATAGGAGTATGTTTCAAACAACAGAAGGCAAGCTCACTTTCTTAATCAATGGTCATGGAGTGTGATACAGAAGCACATAGGTGGAAAGTAACAGACCAGTGCCAAGAAACACACATTACTTCAGCAGAAATATGGACATCTTTGTACTACAAACCCATCATAACATTCCAGGACATTTCCACAAACTTGTTTGTCGCTATAGAGCAGTGTTACCTTCTAAAGACTTTTAGAAGTCATGAAAGCCAATTGAAGAACTTAATGTTTATAATATAATTCCCATAAAGAGAAAATCTTCCATTACATACCCTTGCCTTAACCTACCTCCCACATACAAAGTACATGGGTATTCTTTTTCACTGTCCTAGCTTTAAGTGTAAACACATTTCAAAACACTTCTATGGTACATACACTCTAACAGCAGTTCAGCCCAAATGTTTAAAAAACAAATGAAACTACAGTTCATCATGTCCTTGTGGCTCCTGGTCTTTCAGTTTGAATTCTTCAGCAGTAATCTTGCCATCTCCATTTCTGTCCTGATTGGTGAACATATTTTTCACAATTGTTTCAGAATCAAAGCCAGGAGCTAGCTTTCCTTTGCCAGAATTGACTTGCTCATGGATATAGTTACTAAACTAGGATTAAAAGGAATAAATATTATAAATGGGTATTATTCAGTACCAACTGATTTAACCATTAAAAACTTCACACATTTGATATCTTAGGGGCTGAGCACATTCCCACATCTTCCTATAATGCTAAGGCCCAATGTGCACATTGGAATGGATCCAGACTTAGTCATGTTTAGATTACACCCACTGAAATCAAAGTGGACCTAATGAAATCAGTAAGCATAACTGATTAGAATGGGCCTCTAACCATGACTCAATCTGGATCATATCTTTCATGGTATGTGTGCCATCAAAGGGGCCAGCCCATGTATGGAATTATAGAGGTACTGCCGGCTCCCTTGGAATGAGAAGTAACCAAAAAGGAAGCCCCACCACACCAGCCAGAGCAGTATTTACATCCATTACTACAGTCTTGACAGTCATATGCCACAAAGATAATGTGCAGTGCCCCTTTACTGAAGTAGCGACTATAGGGATTTTGCAGCATCTCCCTCTTTTACAAAAGAAGCATGAATTGCTCTCTACCTTTGTAGAATGTTTGAAGCAGCTCCTGCAAAATTGTAGCATCTCTTTGGATAGGAATAGTTGTATCATTTCCCAACATGGTTCTGTCACCATATTAGTGTAAGTGTAAGCAATTAAAACAATTCATTAAGTAATTGTATCTTAATATATTGCTTAAAAGCAGCCATTCCCAATGTGGTATCCCGCAGGTGTTTTTAACTAAAAGTTCTGTCATCCCTGACAATTGGTAGTACTAGCTGAGGCTGAAGGCAAATGTAGTGCAAAAACAGTACTATGCTGGAGAAGCCCTCTTAAAGCAAGAGATTAGGGTGCTAATCCTCCATGTGCTGTAGTATGAGCTCACTACCACCCATTGGAGAATTGGTACTAGACAAATCTTACCTCTTCCAGAAGAACCTCTCCATTGTTATCCTTGTCAATTTCTTCAAAGAGGTTGGGAGAGACTTCATCATGCCATACAAACATATAGCCTTCAGGTAAGCCAGATACCAAGTCAAGCAGTTCAATGTTGAAAACTAGCACAGCACTTCCAGGCACTTCGCCTTCTGTTACAGTGCATGAAAAAAGTAAATATCCATCTTTATTATATGTGAACATTTTCACAAGTATTTGGAAGAGGAACAAAATCTTATACATTGACTGCCAGCATATGCAAGTTGTACAAGAGATAACAGATTTCAACCCCTGAAATAAAAGCAAAACGACCACCTATGCCCAAAAGAAATGTGAAAATTTTCTCTTGCACAAACATACCAAAGTGTTGTGATTATTTGTGCACTCAAGACTTAATGTGTGTACATGTCCTAATTCACATGCAATGCATACCACATTGCTTTATTATTTGAGGCTATGCTCCACATTGTGAGACAGAAACTTGATTCATTATGCACACATGGTAATATTACATGTTGATGATCAATGTTTTAGTCATTTTAAAAGTTTGTTGTTCAACACTACAGCAATTCACCACTTGCACAAAATGGAACATTATAGCTCTAAATAATTCTTGTGTATGACCTTGCATGCATGTTCTGTGCTACAAGCAGAAGGAATAAGGAGGATGTGCCACAGAGATGCCCATGGAACAATGTTTAAACAAAAGATGGCTTACAGAAGTAAAGTGGAACCCACAGCAGAGGAACACGAGAAATTCATCAATCAGTATAAATTTCTTTATACTGACTGATGAAATTAAATTACTATAAATCGGTGAACATAGATTTCTTAGATTTGGCCTCCTAAACACCTGGAGTATGTGGAGTGTTACACACTTACCAACTCCTGCCTCGCCATAACCAAGATGGGGTGGAATAATAACTGTTCTTTTTTCTCCAACACACATATCTCTGAGACCCATATCCATTCCCAATACAACTTGTCCAGAACCTAGAACTATATTATAGGTTTTGCCAAGAATGAACCTGCAAAAGAAAATAGTTTCATGGACTAGAATAAAAGTACCACATCCTTTCATCTTTCTGGCATTTCACTTTCCTCTTTTTCAAAGTGTATGTGGCTCCCTGTATTATTACTTTTGCTAAGATCACTTGCAAATGTGGCCAGAAAGGGAACTGGTTATAGTCTAGCTCAGCATTCCCATAATCCCTGACCACTAGCAACATTGGGTAAGAATTACAGTACAAATAATTTGCAGGGCACCATGCTGGGGAAGCACAGTCTAATTCATTCATTCATTCATTCATTCATTCATTCATTCATTCATATAATTTTGGGTATTTTTACCCCATCCAATATGTTGCAGGTCTCTGAACAACTTACAAGTCAAAATCCAATAAATACATATAAACCCAAATAATACAAAATAATCCACAACTGAGAATAAAACTATTTAATAGTTAAAATATTAAACATTAGAATTACGGAAAAATAAAAAGGTCTTGATCTGACACTGAAAAGCATATAACGTCGGCGCCAGGCCCACCTCTCTAGGGGGCGCATTCCATAGGCACAGGGATTCTACTATCCCTTCCTATCATACCATTCTCATACCTATTTTAAGTGAATACAAATAATACATAGGAATACGTAACCAGACTTTACTGACATGTATAAACTACTTTCCCTAGTTTCACACCTCTATAGTTAAGCAATGTCAAAGAATATACTTACGTTGAGTCTAACAAAGTGCCATCTAGGAGTGAGGCATTGTAGTGATACTTCAAGTAATCACCTTTCTTGCTCAGCACTGAGCAGTTGCTAGGCTTGTAATGGGTAGTAATAGCAACAGAATCTGAAGGATTGTGGAAGTCCATCACATGAATGTCAAAGACCAACACAGCAGAACCTGGAATCTTTCCTGTAATAATAATCACACAAAAAGAAGCTAGCCACTCTTTCTGATTAGATGTCCCATAAACTGGAGACTCAAAATATGTACTGCCCAAACAAATAAGACTTGCTTAACTGGACTTCTTAAGTTCATCCTGAATGGCATGGAATAGGCTTTTGAGATTTAAGGCATGCTATATTTTTCCATTTGCAAAAATCCTATATACAGCAGGACCCCCATATCCACTAGGGATAAGCCCTCTAGTGGGCCCTCTAGAGGATGCCTGAAATGGCAGATAGCAGCAGACACTACAGTGTCTAAGGGGTAAGGGGCATATGAGATACTTGGCAACTACATTATCAGCTTTTCTTTTGTCTGGGAGCATGAGTGCAGTGATAAGAATTTAACAGAACCAGAAAGATTTAAGTGGATGAAATCATTATCTTGTATTGGGTTAACCTGCAGCTAAAATCTACTACAAGCTTTTAGGCTTTACAGATAACAAGGCATAATGTGTGCCCTGGGCATTTTGAGTAACAAAATCACTCAGGAACTTCGTGTTTATTTTGCACCTCCATGTTAAAATCTGTATTATACTGTGAAAGAGATCCACAAGTCACCAATTCTACCATTGCTACAGAAGTCCACAAAAAGGCTTGTACATGAATCCTCTTTCAACAATTCCATAACAGCTAAAAGCATTTTTACATCTCAATACTTTCAGTAGTGCTTCTTTCCACTGAGGGATCAAGTAAGATCCCAGCATCTTCCCTGTACTGTGTTTCTCCCTTGTTTAATCAAAGCTGTACACAGTATGTTTCTGGTACACATATTTCTCTTGTTGTTACATGGGCCAGACTTGGAATTTCAAAACCTTATCATCAGGTTCATTTATACAGGACAATCCTGCCTGAAGGGTAGGAATGCTCAAGTGTCAGAGCCTCTGATATATCCAAAGTCCTGCTGAGTTCCTGCTATCAGGACAAAAGTGCAGGAGAAGCTCACGCCTTCTTCCTTCCTTTCCTCCTTCCTTCCCAGCTTCAGAGGTTGGGGGGTTGATCTATTTTCCTCTCTTTGCATGCACAGTTAGAGAAATTATTTGTACCAGCTTCAGGGCTTTAGCTGCATTGGAAATAAGGCCCCAGTCTTTGCCCTTTCCTGCTTTTTTAATCCCTCTTCATTTCAGAACTCAAACATGAGGAAGGGCAACAGAAGTTTCCACAGGATCTGGATGGATCCATGGTTGGATCTTCCTCTCTGAGGGTGGACCTTTCTTTCCAATCCCAGAAGATCCAATCTCTTTTATGGCCCCTGGGATGTCCTCCTGAAAGCCAGATGATTGCAACCTAAAATAATTTTCCCACCACTACAGAGGTAAATAACCACAATTGTGCCTGGCTAATACTATGATATATCTTCCTTAGATTAATATTATTTTTGGAAAATACTTCTAAAATTAATAATATTTTCAGATATGTAAAACATTAATTATTCATTCATCATTATAGGCATCTGGTATATGGAAAGGTGGGACAGACTGTCCATCAAACCTATAAGCAAAGACTTGGCTAGACAGCTGACAAATTTGCAGTATCCTGACCTTCACTTATGTGGTTTGTACATCAAGTCAATCCAGTGGATTTAGTCCACAGGTGACTGAATTTGGGTTATTGTGATATCCAAGCCCATCTACATGATACTGTAGGATTACAGCAAGCCTAAGTAAAACCCTGATGGAAGCATCACACACATGTATCATGTACTACATTAGTCCTTAAAACTTTAAAATAAAAAAGCAGAATGACTGAACTGCACAATCCTTATGAAAGAATGTGTTAAATTAAAAGCTGCACTCACCTCTTCCCTCTTCTCCATACCCAAGATGAGGTGGAATAATTATTCTCCTCTTCTCTCCAACACATACACCAAGCAAGCCTTCGTCCATCCCAGCAATCACATAACCTTTCCCAATGTAAGTATCATATGTTCGATTCCGTGAGTAGCTACAGAAAAGACATTGCTTTATTGAGACCACTATCAGTACACATGTATACTTAGTACCACCGCAAAAAAAATAGGACCTCTTATAGGTACAATCCCCACAACCCCTCCCCTGGCAATTTAGATAACATGTTTATCCTCCCTCCCTCCACTCTCAGTAACTTAGGGGGAAAAAGGTTATTGATATAAGACTTGTTGTCTTCTAGATGTTTTGGTCCACAACTCCCTTCAGCCCTAGCCTGCATGAACACTGTAGGTCAAAATATCTGGACAGCCACAAGTGGTTCACCCCCTGTATAATGGACCTTCTGATAGTAAAAGTAGCAATCCAATCAAACAAGGAGCAATGACATGATTGAATTTGGCACATTTATTATTTTAGTCTATTACTGTGAAGAGAAAAGTTCATGACAAATCCCCTCCAGTTTGACTAGGTGAAATGAAGGTTCTATTTTTGGAAAGAGGCTCTCTCAATATGTATTCATGGTTGAAGACATTTACAGGCAGCCTCCGCAGAGCTTTTAAAACAGCTGACAAAAAACAGCTAGAAGCTACTAAGGACCCATGCAGGAACAGGAAGCAAAAACTGTAGTTGTAGTAACCTGGGTACCTGCAATCAAACAATGTGCCATCCAGAAGGGTACCATTATAGTGATATCTAAGGAAGTCCCCAACTTGGCTTCTGCGTTCACAGGATTCAGGCACATATTGCTGTTCCACAGTGATGCTGTCCTTGGGGTTGTGGAGATCTATGAGGGCCACATCAAAAACAAGAGAAGCCTGACCAGGAATTTCTTTGCCTGTAAGCAATGCAAACAACAGGCAATTATCAGTGCAATATTTCAGAAAAAAAATCAAGCCAACCCCACAAATATATACATGCTTCAATTAAGAGAATGATCCTAAGACACCTAGACTTTGAGGCTCCATGGGATCATTTGGATTCTTGGCTCCAAGATCAGACACATTTCTCAGGGCTGGGAATAAACCCTCTTGCACTGTCCCCTTGCAAGCAGCATGGAAAGCACTGTATCAGTTGCTCTTCAAATAACCGGGGGTGAGGGAGAAATTAGCAGCCAGGATATGAGGTGTCCTGAAGCTTCTCCAGCCTCCTCATCCCACTCCAAAATGCACTGCTAGACTGCTGATAATCACCTCCAATGCTCCTCCCATTCTGCATTGATAAACGTGAGCCTGGGAGTTCAGGAACTTAGGTTCATCATCGTAAAATCAACCCCTAAGTCAGTATAAAGATCCAGAAAAATTCAAGCTAACCCAACACATCAATTCCATGCTAACCTAATTTTGCTGATTCCCCCTCTACCAGTTCTTAAACAATGTCCTATTAATTAGCATAGGATAAACTACTTCACATAACCCTACAGGTTATTTTAATTATGCTTGCAGCCCATTTCTAGGTATGTTCACCTCAGAAGTTTCATTGTGATCAAAATTACCATTCCAGGAAAGTATGTTCCTCTCTAAGCACTTTCACTGCACATGGATCATAAAAAAAGTAATTCTTCCAATGATATGTTTCAAGGTCCCGCTACAATATGAGTCAGTAATTCTGAATTACATTAACAAGGTAAGAAATACTGAAAAGGTCACATATGGTCAGATCCAGCAGGAACACCATTTAAGCAGGGCTCAAAAGGGCTTGTTATTCCCTCTGTGGCTTAAATAACATGCAATTATTCTTCAAGCATATAATTATTTATTTATTTATTTATTTATTAAAACATTTCTATGCCGCCCCATTCGCCGAAGCCTCGGGGCAGCTCTCAACATAAGACAAAGTACAAATATAACAATATAACAATATAAAATAAATAACAATATAAAAGATCTCCAGGTTTATCAATTATAAAAAGCAACCATAACAAGTACCATTGATAAAAACCACTTCTGTGCCATTTATTCTTGCATTTATTAAATAACAGAATTTTTAAGCCCTCCTTACAGACATTTCAAATATTAAAAAGCACACTTTTCATTCAGCTCACTATATTATGGGGTGGCCATACTTGCTCAATGCCAGAGCCACGTATGGTAACCGTCACGTTTTGAGGGTGTCCATGGGTGGTGATGGCAGGCGGCTGCCCACAGCAAGTGCCAAGCCACAAAATAAGTTCAAAGAGCTGCATGCAGCTCCTCAGCCTTGGCTTTGCCACCCCTACTACATAATACAATATAATGCAGTACAGTGCAGATTATCAGTTGCTCATTACAGGCCCTTCATGAAAACAAATTAACTTATCAACTGCTGTATTTCCATTTTCTCTGCTCCTGCTTTTCAGCAGCCTAGTCTAAGGATATCTTTAGCATGAGTTAACATGCCCCAACAATCTCCTCTCCATGCCAATAACCTTCACTTCCATTAACGTGTACAACCAACTGCTGCAATTTGGTTACAGTAATGGCTATTATCAGAGCCTTATCATATCATGAAATACCATGAAACAGCAGAAAATACCTTTTACCAGGAAAAAATGAGACTATTCACACATTCCAAAAGAATGTGCAAGAATTGTTCCAATCCAGGACACTTCTTGTCCCAAATCTTATAATCGGTATGCTCTTGTGGAAAAGGGATAAGAAAATTTAAAACAATGTTCTTTTGCCAACAACAGCCTTATTATTCTGTCAGTTAACTAGCTAGAAACAAACATTAAAAGAAAATGGTAAATAAAACTTTCTTCACCTATAAATAGATTTTTTTAAAAAGTTCAAGAGCCAATCAATTATGTTTATTGATTGGTCAGCTGCTTTTGACTAAAAGAAAATCACTGTGAATTCACATTCTGTGGAAAAATCTTATGTTGATTTAAGTGTTGAGATCATCTTTGTAAATGAAGATAAACAAAGCTGGTATTTACCATCTCCCTCTTCTCCATATGCCAGGAAAGGCGGTACTGTGATTATGCGCTTTTCTCCTACACACATTCCAAGGAGACCTTTGTCCATACCAGGAATTAGCCAACCAATTCCCACATAGGTGTCATATGTTCGCATCCTATTATGACTGAAAATATGGGTACACACCAGTTATTTTTACTCAGTATCTTCATTTTAGCACTGGGAGCTAAAGCAATATTGGAAATCTTGGAGAGGGGAGAGTCAACACAAACAGAAACTGATAGCACTTGTTATACACAGTGTTACATATCTATGAAGGTATAAAACAACAAATCAGTTACACAAAAGCAAAGATGTTTTCATTTCAAATTAATCACTTACTATCCTTATTACTCTTGCTACTCTAGAAAAAACACGAACAAACAAACAAAAAATAGACTTTACCTTGAGTCAAACAGTGTTCCATCGAGAAAAGTCCCGTTGTAATGGTATCTAACAAAGTCAGACACCTGAACTGTCCTTGAACAATTTTCTGGCTTGTGATAAGTATGAATTTGAACTTGGTCATCAGAATTCCAAATATCAATCAAAAGCACATCAAAATGAAGTACTGAATCTGGAGGAATTACACCAGCTGTAAATGCAAAATATATTAAAATAACTCTATTACTTAACCAAATACTAGTATAAAGGTCACACTGGGCTGCAGGCAGATTTAGGCATACTGGCAGAAGCAGACTTTACCACCCTTTCCTCTCCCTCCAGGTCCATGCAAAAATGCAACAAAAATACAATGCAACTCTAAACATATTATTATTATTATTATTATTATTATTATTATTATTATTATAACATTTCTATGCCGCCCCTTCTCAGAAGACAATTCTCATTTAATCTAAATTACTCCCAGGTAAAAGTCTGTAAGACTGCAGCCTTACCATACAATCATATGAATGTTCAGATAGAAAAAATATATACCAGCATCCCCCAGACTTTTTTTTTTGTCTAAATATACATATGATTGCACCCTGAATTAACTCTTTAAAGTAGTAATTTTATAAATTGAGAGACAAAGAACTCTTACAGCATTGCTGTATTTTAGATCTTTATATCCTGCCTTATCCTACTGGCCGAGAGAGCATTTAAATCACAACTGAAGTTACAGCACCTACTATTAATAAAATAAAATACAAAATTACAAGCAAGGGCAATGTTGCATTAATGTAAGCATCAGAAGAATAAACAAAAAGGTCAACAGTGAACCATAAAAGTCTTCTTCCCAGACAGAACTCTCTAGTGAACTACAAGCTTCTGGTTTCCAAATGATCTTGGTGGGTTTCATTTATATGCTTGTTCCTATAGCTTCTGTAGATAAATCAGAGATGCAAATTTTGGGAAACTTCTCAAGATGGACAATTTAGCTCTCCCACACAATAAAGTTAAAAGTTAAAAAGACCAAATGCTTTTCATTTCCTTACATATATCCAGAAATGGCAACCGAGGCAGAAAAGGATATTGCAGATGCTTCTGATACACAGCAATTAGGGATGTTTCATGAGTAACAAATGAATAGACCAAAAGGGGGAGCAAGAGGACAAATTCAAGAGGATTTTTAGTAGCCAAAGGCCAGCCCACCCTGGGATAATTCACCCATGGGTGCTGTTACATTGTGCCATGAGCCCAGCTTAACAGGAACATGAACCTAAGTGACAGGAGTTGTTTGAGGGTCAGAGAACTCAACTAACCCATGGCTTGATTTAGGGTTGAGGGCTCAAATGTCTCCTGCCACCTAGGTTTGCACAGCACACACACACAGAGCAAGCCATGTGCCAGTTGGCACCATACAAAAATGGCACCCAGAGGTCAATGCAACAGCCCCTATGTGTAAACTAACCCACACTGGACTGTTTTAACGAACGTGTAACCAGACTCCAATTGGAGAGCACATAATGGCAAGAAGAGCTGTGCCATCCTCATTGCCATCCTTCCTAAATGTGTGACAAAAAGAACTGCTGTTATACATGAAAAGGATCTTGCAATGCCAAGGAGTTACCCTTTAGAAGATGTTCCTTCTGTATGTCTGTGCTTTTCAATGCTCAGGATTTACCTCCTTCCAATTCTTCCCTCGCATAATTCTGCATCAGATGTGGCATCATTCCCAAAACAAAGACACACAAGAATTCCCTGCCCACAGAGGAGGTTATATGTTGTGCCTCTGGGCTTGCCTCTTCCCAGTTAGAAAGTACCATTAGATCACCAAGCATGTAGAAATGAATTTGAGTGGTCTTCAATGGGGGTGGTAGAGAGGGAATAATTCTCCATCTACTATACTCTAAAACAATGGTAGACAGTCTGTGGCCCTCCAAACATTTTGGCCTACAACTCCTCTCACCACTGGCTATGCTGGCTGGGGCTGCTCAGAGCTTTAGGCCAAAAATGCCATCAGGAGGACTATAAGTTGCCCATCCCAAATGCAAACCTCTGGAGCGGTCAGAAAGACACATGGCTCCAATTTTAATTCAGAAAAAAGGTGTGCCTCAGCTATTAAGACATTTGGGAAACAATCAGCCTGAAGCTTGGTTTGACTTTCCACTATGGCAGTGTCCCAGGTCATCACTGTTGAAGAACCACATTATACTAATTTTGGAACCCACACTGGACATGAAGAACAATATATACAGAAACGAGAATCATAACTTCAACTGCACAAAGGAAATCACTGCAGATTTTGTCATACTATGTTCTCTACAAAATTTATCACTAGAAGTTTACTTCTCTTAAATGAAGGACGTTTTCCAAAAACCTAAGAACTGCAAGAGGAAGGAAGCTTCAACCTCCTAGACAACAACTGTACCTAGTCATTCCACTCCTGCCTATATTAATCAGAACTCTTTAATTGTATTGATACTACACACCTGTGCACATACATATGCCAATGCAAATAGAGCAAGATTGGATTCATTGGCCCTACATCTGACTTGTGTGTTTCTCAGAAGCTTGGAGCATCTAATCAAAATACAAAATTTGTGAGCAGGGGAGCACTGACCTGAATCCACTTCCTTCTCATCTGTACATTCAGATCCACAGGTATGTCATATGAATACCACTAGTACTCACATGAAACCCACAAGAAGAAACCCACACATGAAACTTTTTGCAACCTTTGTTTTAAACTCCCCCTTTGAACAGGCTACTTTGTTTTCTTCATTTGTATGCAGCATCCTCATACTTACAAACTCCTTCACTCCCATAGCCAAGATGTGGTGGAATTTTTACAAATCGCCTCTCATTCACGCACATGCCAAGAAGTGCTTTGTCCATTCCAGCAATGAGCTGGTTTTTACCCACAAACACATTGAATGTGGAACCTCTGTCATAGCTAGAAAGAGATAAGATATTTTACTTGCATATTCCTTTGCAATTCATTTAAATCTTATTCATACATGTCATTGAGGCTGAAAATGTTTACCCTTTCCTCAGCCCTATCATGGCTAATAGTTGTTGAAAGACCAATCCTCCATGAATTTGTCTAACTCATAGGCTTTGAAACTGTGGTGCATAAATTTCTAGGGATCCATGAGTTCCACTTAAGTGATTTAAAGGAAGGTTACAAAACAAGCAAGAGAATCTGTACTTGACCATGCAGCTTTTTAACAATAGAGATCCAGCCCTATTATTTTTGTATTACAGTACTGGTACATTCTACTAATTTTCCTTTAAAAATGTACCAGTTAAAAGAACTCTTCTCAGAGCCCTCAAGTCCAAGCACAGGATGAATAGTGATACTGACTTGACAAACATTTACTTGACTTTCCAGACCTTTGACCACAAAGACAGGCTTCATCCCCTTAGAAAGCCATGGCTGTGATCAGTAATGAGTTATATGCTGTAACGCGTAGTTTATTTACAGTGTCATGCTATTCATGTCTACTCAGAAGTCCCATTGAATTCAATGGAAGTTACTCACAAGCAAGCATGCATAACAGAAGCATTTTTGGCCTAAGCACCAAACTGCTCCAGACCAAGACACTGAGGGTTATATTCCAGCAGTAAGGTCGTTGCTCAATGTCGGTGGAGTCTCTGATTGCATGCAATCCCTCCCACAAACATATTTTCACTTGCACACATGTTCACCCTTCCCAGTCCCACCCCCTCAACTCCATGCATATTAGCTGAGGGAACAGATTTGCTTAATGCAATGCTGCTTCTGATTGGAGGTAAGCACTTTCCCCTCCTCTGAATGGAAGAACAACTCTTGGTGCTAGGACAGGTGAAAGTGTGTATGCTCATTCTGCAGAAGATAAGCCCCTTCCCCACTTGCCTTGGGGAAACAGCTTATTTCTGATCTGCTGCCAAATTAAGCCTTTTTCCCCTCTCTATTTTGGTGCTGGAGCAGGTGAAAGGGATAGGCACTGGGGAGAAGGACCCAAATGTGGAATCCCTGCAAGCTGTGTTTCATGTCCAAAACAGAGGTTCCCCATTCCTGATGTGTAGCACTGCATGGTAAGCAATTTTCCAAGTGTCCTAGTAGTTTTCCAGTGGTTTATGAAAAAACAAACAAACAAATACAGTACATTTTTATTCAGACAGAATATGCTGCTGAAGTAGGTTTTAATCTGGTAGGTACCATTTTTGCCCTCTTATTAATATGTTTTAGTTATAATGTTTACTGGAATTGTTTTTATTTTATGAGTTTTAACATTTTAATTGCTGTTTTATCTGAATTCCATCATTACCTGCCTTAAACACCAATTTTAACAGAAAAGCAACGTAAAATTAATAAATATAGACATGCAAATGTAAATCTTTGTTTAAAAGTCATGAAAGCTAGCTAACTCTAACTGGATTACTGGGCACAGGTCTAGCTGCCCCCTCTCAAAAGGGTTGCAAAAGATGCAAGAAAGTACAACTATCATGGTCAAGAGACTGGAATGTCATTCCTACAAGGAAAGCTTGAAGCAGGACATGGAAGTTCTTTTGCCCAAAGGTTCAATTTAATTTTACAGAAACTCTCAGCATTCATTCTTCCAGCAGATAGCATATTTTCATTTAGAGCATTTACTGCCATGCACCTAAGCAAAACTGAGCAAAAGCCAGGAAAACAATGAAACATCAAAACTGGGGAAAGAGAGGCACAGCCATATGAGAATCCCAAGGCAGCCAGATTTGGGTCTGAGAAAAAAGCATACAGGGTATCTTTGTTATGAAAAATAGTAGGACCATGATGTTGAAAAGTCAGACAGAGTTCTTTTCACCCTCTGACAAACAACGGAAGTCAGAAATTCTTGATACAATGAACACGTAGTTGATTAAGGACAAAAAAGAATCTTCATACGTAATTATTCACTGTTGCACAAAGGTGTACTTTCTCCTCTGTTGAATGCATCATGCTAATATAAGCAAATTGTAAGCAAATCTTTTAAATCAGTACTTATTCAGGGAATTATTTGGCATATATGTAACCATGGCTTAGGACAGATACTCTTCTAGAATAAGATAGAGAATATACAAATCTAATTTCTGAAAAAATGAATATTCTAAGATGTCTTGAATTTTGCCAAAAAACTATTTTCACACAGAACAGTCAAGTTAGTGTAAATGATTATATGGGAACTTTTGATGATCTGCACTACATCTGTTAACCAGATCACTTCCTCAGTTGAAATGGTTGGCTTTTCCTTTTACCTTTACTTACCACAGGCAAATCCTGGCACATAGTCTAACATGATGATACAGTTAGATGCATTCTACACCCGACTTGTAGGAACACACATGGTGCATCCATGATACAGTGAAAATCAGTCTGTCTTCCGGGTCCATAGAGACCAAAGAAGAGCCCTACTGGATCAGGCCCAGGGTCCAGCTACTCCAGCTTTACGTTCACACAGCGGCGAACCCCTGGGAAACCCATATTGAGCGTGAGAGCCCCCTCCTGCATATGAAATGGAGTGTGTTCAAAATTATATCCATTCCAAATATATGCATTCATACAGAAATACAAAGGTAGAACAAAAGTGCCTTTATTGTATTGCATGAATCAGTGCCCCACTGCTTCCCGCACTGGGGAAAGTGATGCAGCATCTTCGCAGGCACAAGCATGCACATCTTTTATCCAGATTGCAACCCTGAGAGCAGCCCCTTGTCACATGCATCTTAGGGAATACTGAAACGCTGGGAAGGAGGCATTCCCCGGAGGGCTGTTCCCTGGAATTTCTCCCACAGCTGCCAACATAATCAAGACTTCACGTTCATGCAGCACTCGGTATCGCCTGATCCGAACGAGCCGGGCAGGGCTCAGGTGCGGGCTAGGGGATTTCCTCAGACCCTCCTCGCCCGGGAGAAGCACGGCAGGGATCGAACCTCGGATCCTCATGCAAAGCACGTGCTCCTCCACCGAGCTATCGCCCCCAAGCTGCAAGCCAGCGCGCACCTCCCTGGAAGTAAGAGAGCCCCCGAGGGGGCTCGTCTCGTTTGCGGCTCCCCTTCCCCCGGGTCGAGCAGCTATGAGGCCGGGGGCTACCTGGAGTCGAACTTCCTGCCGTCGGGGAAGGCGCCGTGGTAATGGTAGCGCACGAAGTCGCCGGAGCCGACGGTGCGCGGGCACTGCTGGGGCACGTAGTTGCGCTCGATGAACACGTCCTTGCCGTCCCAGGGGGTCTCCGCGGCCGGCACCGGCGGAGCCTGACACGCCACGCAGCTCACTAGCAAAGCGAGCAGCAGCGGCGAGCAGCAGCGACGGCGGCGCGTCCTCTGGCCCGACGGCATTCCTGGCCCTTCCGCAGCCAAGCTCGAGTGCGAGGAATCGAGTCAAGGGGCGCCCCGCCGAAATCCCGGCTTCCCAAAGCTGCAAACGTGGAGAGGGGGCTGGGTATCGGAGGACGCAAATAAAAATCCCGGCCCCTTCTCCTCTCGCAACTGGGAGGAGCCAGCCCCAAGGAGAGCGGCACCCAGCTTCCCTCACATGCAAGAGAAGGGCTCGGCGGGCTTCCTGGCCGACGCGGTTAGTTCGGGGCGTGACGCCGCTTGTCTGTGCGTGTGAACGGCATGAACCATGAAGCCCTGCTGCAAAGCCGCGCACGACGAGAAGGCCCTCCAAATCGTACAGAGGGAGAGGAGGGAGGCGGATGACCAGACAACGAACGGGCTAGAGCTTCCAGTTCGTCTGCTGCTTTCCCCCTCGGGAGAGCTCTCTCCTCCCCTTGCTACGTGGCGCCCCCGCTCCTCTCCAACCCAAAGCCATTGCAAAAGTTCAGTGTTCCCTCAGGCGCAGGAGGACCGGCTATCCTTTTCCTCTTCGCTTGCCTGACGCACGCGGGCAAATCCGCCGCGACTAGCGGGACTTCTTCCATTGCTCTTCGTGGCGGGAAGCGGTGGAAGGCGGGCCCAATTGGCCGCTAGGAGTGGCTGGGCCAACGGGCCGCGTCGGCTTGCTGTTTCTTCGTATTCTCTTCAATAATGTAATAATGAGAGGAAAAGAGAGATAATGAGGACTGACTGGAAAGAAATGTAGCTTTCTCGTCGTTGTATTTGGCTAAGGGCGTGTGCGTGCTGTGCTTGCGTAACAGCCAAGCTACCGCGGCAGCTGCGGGTACAGGATAGCATGTAGGGAGCGGGTCCGAGTCATGCAAAGAACTGGGCTTGAAATCGATACGATGTCAGGACATAATGGCCTTTGGAGGATAATATCGTGGCAGGAAAGCCTTTCCTTCCTGGGCAAGCAACGGGGCAGACTGCGGGGAGTTCCCTCCGGGCAGCAGGGGAAAGTGTTAATTCACCCTCGCCTGTGAGTTAGATCTGGGGCAATGCTGCTTTGCAACACGCAAAGCTGAAGATGCGCTTAATACAACCTGTGGCTTGGACCTTGGGAACTGGAATGTGTGTTACCAGTGTCTTGTATGCTGCGTTGTGTTCTTTGATTCCTTTGTCTTGGGACTCTGGTATTCCTGGTATGTTCCCATCCGTAGCCGGTTATGACTGCTTCCTGTTCCTGTGCTCCAACGCCTTAACGTAACTCTTGGTTCATCTGGGACAGCAACTCACGCAAGAGCAGCTTAGCGGGGCGTGTTAACCGGGAGCACAATATGGGGGGGGGACGGGGGGGAGTTAGATGTCTTCCACCCATGCCAGTGCATTAATATACATACACAAACTTAGTTTGTCCCTAAGATAGCAAAGTTTGAGAAAGGGCTGGTTATCCTAATTTAGCACCAAGACTAGTACTTTACTAATATGGGGGTGAGTAGTTCTTATGTGAGATTCTTCATGGCAGTAACCTTAAATATTTTTTACCCTGGAGCCAGGCAGTGCCACGTGGGTCAAGCGCTGATGCGATGCATCAGAATCCTCCACAGATCACTTCAGCCCTCTCCTATTATCCCTTTCCATGTCATCCAGGCAAGGCCGCCTCTATCTTCTCCAAATAGGAAAAATCCAATGGGATCATTGAATTGGGATGATCGTTCCTCGCTAGTGCCAGAGCATTCTGATTTACTCAATGCTGCAAAGCCACCCTGTATGGGGGCAGAATGCGCTTAACTTCACCTTTTGGTTTTCCCCTCCAGCATGTGCGCAGGGCTCTGCAGCTAGCCAATCACATTGCTCGTTTCTTCTTGGCCTTCTCCCCCCATGTCTAATTGGCAGATTTCTCCAACATTCTCCTTTTTTTGGGAGCCCACTGGTGGCTGTCAAGCCTTGCAGTGAAGAAGACTAGTCTATAACAGATTTGAAGAAAAGGGAAACTGTAAAGAACAGTAACTGCTAAGTATTCTGTGTCCCCTTATTTTTGCTCCCATCCAGTTCAAGTAAAACAATGGTGTTTAAGACAATCTGCCTTTCCCATATTGATTCGTCTGTTACAGAACTCCCAGAATATCTTCCATGGAAACAGTACTGCAGAGGGTTTTTACACTAGTCAGGCCTGTTGGGGTTGTAATAGTGCCCTCTAAAAACAGAATGCAACACATTTCTGCAGTTGCACTTTGCAAGAGAAGCTTTGCAGTAAACACAGCACATAAAAAGATTGTAAAGTTGGCCCTTGGGCATTGATTAAACTGGGACTAATCTCCAGACAAAGCACCACTAACACAAACCAAGAAAAAAAGATATAACAATACTCAAACTCACAGCAGAATGCATTTGCTAAAACATTTTTCCTTGATCATGCTTGAAATAAAGTGCAAGGATATTATTGTGACCTTTGTCAGGGAAAACCTTTCCAGCACATCCAATGTAGAACTATGGGTAAGTTGTCAGCAAAGAACTACTCCACCATTTTGGCTGTGTGGTTTGCCTAGCTCTAAGCTAGCAGTGGTTTATAATAACCTGTTATATTATAGCTGACTGTAGGAATAGAGGCTTCTTAGATGCCAACACGTATTCATGGGGTTTACAATAGGGATAAACGTGGCAGGAGCAGCAAAGCATAGGTTATACTTCTGCTGCGTAGGGAAATGCTCTGTAATCTAGAGAAACAGCCTGTTAAGAATTCCTAGAGTATATGCATGAAGCTTGGCATGAAAATAAACAATTGTAGGGAACCAAGATAAAGCCTGTTGCAGAAACACTTCATTTTGTCTGATGTTTAGCACATTTTCAATGTTAATAGAGTCACTTCCTCCTTTATGTACCCAAACAAGGGCCAACCACAATGCTCTTATAGCTCAACTGCAACATATTCTTTTTTTTTTTTAATGATGAGTTGTCATACCTTCCCTGAAAGAGTCCTAGGCATTTCTTCCTGCAAAACTGCTACATATTGTACTTCTGGTTTGAATCTTAATAGTTACATAATACTTGAGGAGCCAATCTTAACTAAAAAAATTGAGGTGTTGATATAAAACTGATATAGATACAAACTTGTGTTTAAAAACCAATTTAAATAATGCTGAAAAGATATACTTTCAAGCTCAGTATTCACCATACTCTTTGCAAAGGGTATATGAAAGAGCCACTCTCAAGTTACCAAGGGGGGAAATGGATGCAAACTATTTCAGAAATTGCAACAGCATGTACAAAAAAAGTAGTTTTTGCCACTGTAGAAAATGTTCAGGCTTCAAATATTTTCTGGTCAACTAGGTCTGGTGGGAAAATACCCATATATGTTGTGAAAGGCAAACAAAGCCTTTTGATTAAATAAAGTTTCTCAAGAAAATAATGTTTCAAGAAAAGAAAGTGTATGAAACAATGTGGAATGGAATGTCACTACAGATAAAGAAGAAACAGAGTGTTAAGGTTGTGGTGCAGCTTGAAATTTAGGACTCATGCTCTTTATGTCTAATTGAGGAAATTTTCATTGAACTTGCTATGTATTGATGGGTCTATAACCCTTGTTTTATAAATTCTTTTGCTTTTATGTACACTGGCAGAGTTGGATGTCAACTTTGGGTGATATCTGCTATCCCATGTGCATGGTTCTGAATAAAGATCCTCCGTCGGTTTCATCTCTCTCTCACCTACAATTGCTGCTCTGCATTATTAAACCACCCTACTTGGAGAAACCTAAACAGAGAGTGAAGGGTTTTTTTTCTTCCAGACTGCCAGCAAAATGGGAGGATTTTTACTCAAATAAAAATGAAATACAAGCACATACTAAATTAGCTTGGACAAACATTTAATTTGCTCGCCTCCCCATTTAAGACATGCAGTGTGTGTGCGTTTCCTGAAAACAAGTGTCAACATGTTGATAAGTGTCATATGATTCCTTCCCCAGAACAGTCATCTCTTTGCAAAGTTGCTTTCGTCAATTTTGTTCATTCTACTCTTGCAACACAAGGAGCTTAAGAACTGGAGTGCTCGAAGGTAGGAGAGAAGTCCAGAAGTTTCAAATTGCCAAAAGAAAGGAAAGAGAAGAACAGTGCTGTGAGTGCCCATTTATTTCATTGCTCTTAAATATAATACCATCTGTTACACTTATGTTGAAAAATCTAGGGCACAGTTTGTAGCTAGCTGGGGAAAGCTAGGAGTTTTGAGAGTTTTTCTGTCAAAGTATGCCTCAAACTATCCTTAATGGGAAGGTGTTCTAGTTAGACTTCAGAACTATTTTATTACTATTATTATTATTACAGAAGCATTTTTTACACCAAGAGCTAAAGTGTATGACAATCGTTATACACTTTATAGCACTCTGTAGGTACCTCAATGTGAGGTACTCTGTGAGACTTTATAGCACTCTGTAGGTACCTCAATGGCTGTTGCAAAGAAGGAAGGAAGGAACCTATTCTCACTCATCTCAAACTGTGGGACATGGAACAATGGATTAAACTACAATACACCAGATGCAAGCTAGACACAAGGAAGAATTTTCTGACTGAAAGCAGCATGACAGTGGAACCAGCAGCCAAGAGAGGTTGTGTGCTCTTCCACATTAACATTCAAGAAGCAATTAAACAATTACCTGAGTGGGATGGTGTAAACTGGTGTCCTGCAACAGCAGGGGGTTGGACTTGGTGGCCTTCTTGGCCCCTTCTGACTCAACTATTCTACGATTCTTGCCTGAATATTAGGACAGCTGATGGTAGGAAATTCAAATTCAATATACTACTATATATTATTGAAAAATGTCCCAGATGGCCATTCAGATAAATACAATCCGTGCTAGTTTAAACAGAGAAGAGTCCTACGGCTCCCAGCATGCCCCTGCCATCAGTATTTAGG